TACCCCACTCGTACTGCGCGCCCGTCGAGAGCCATTTGGCCGCTCTGGCCATGAATATCAAGCACAAGAAAATGCCCCGCAGTATAGCCGGCGGCGAGTATGACAACTATGGGCTGAGCGGTGGGGGTGGAGGTGGAGGCAGTGGTTTTGGTGGCACCGTATGCGGCGATCAACTGTCCATCGCTAAGAGCGCCGGTACGGGCGGCGGCGGGAGTGGAGGCACTCATATCGGCGGCAATCAGTCGGAGTTCGAGTGCTTTCAGGTGCATATGTTGGGCGGCGGGTCGGGCGCCGAGTGTCACCCGTTTTTCAAGGACCCCGCGGGCAGGTATATAGTGTTGTATACGTTTATAGCACGCGATGAAAACGACGTGTCCGTCGAGAGGGGAGAGTTTGTGACCGTTTTGAATCGGGACGACCCCGACTGGTATTGGGTGGTCCGCTGCGATGGCCAGGAGGGCTTCATACCATCCGGTTTTGTGTGTCCGGCCGATATGATACATGGTTTGTGTGATTCATATCTGTTATATCATGATTATTGTTAGTTTCATGGTCACATCTATGCAGATATTAGTTTCATTTATAAACTTACTTCATCATTTGATTTCTATTTATTTATTAACGTTGATAATATTTTATTTAATTATAATTTAGCCATGTAGAACTAGAGATTAGTTTAATAATTAGTTATTATTGATTAGTAAATTTTTTAATTATATTAATTAAACTTTATTGAGATTAGCAATTATTAGACAATAATGATTAACAATTATTATCTCATTTGTCGCACCTATAGGTCACTCAAACGGTCAGTCCAACACAAATACGGGCAATAATAATAACGTCGGTCACCACAACACCACTGCACACATCGGTATCGTTGGCAATGGAAGTGGCGGTGGAGGCGGAGGTTTAGTAACCGGAATGGGATCGGGAAGTGTTGGACCCGTTATGAACGGTTCGACAACGAGCGGCACAGGCGGTGGAGGAGGAGGTCAGGCACCCGCTGGCGACCAATCGGAGCCGCGATTTCACGGCACAGAACTAGTGATGCTCTACGACTATAAGGCACAGGCATCGGACGATCTGTCCGTACGGCGCGGCGATTGGGTTTACGCCGACCTCAACGTCCAGAACGTGGACGGATGGCTCTGGGCTTTCGCGCCCAAACACCGCAAGTATGGTTTCATACCCAAGGCCTACGCCCGGCCCCCAGCCATGACCNTCTCTCTCTCTCTCTCTCTCTCTCTCAGTCTCCCTCTTTCTCACTGTCTGTCTGCCTGTCTATCACTTCGCAATACAACCCTTTATTTCTTGATGTCATTCACAAAACAGACAAATCAAGTGTTAGAATAATGTAAAAAAAAGTTTTTTTTCTTGACATAATCGCAACCCAGGCGTACAATATATGCGATATATGCAGGCATTACAGGGGGTGCGGGCAGTGGGTTGGGTGGCCCGGTTGGGGAAGGGGTGCAGGTTATGCTGGTTTTTAATTTACACATGCATTGTGTTTTGGTTGAAAAAATATTAATTACTTTAATTAATTATTAATGCATTTAATGGAGTGTTTTAATTATACTGGCAGTCGGGTTAAAGGGTAAGGTGTATTAAAATGATGGTGCATTAACCTCGCCCCCACCCCACACACCCCTGGGTGTGAGGTGTTCACAAATGATCAAGTGCAGTGGTTAAAATGTATTTGATTACATTAGTGTAATAAAATATGCTTGATCCAATATCTAAAACCCCCTATCCCATTACTCGCGTACCTGTGCTCACTGTATTCAACACTGTATTATAGCTGATTGATGGCATTAATAAGTAATAATAATAATATTCTCAATTGATATAACCTTCAAAATATAAAATTCAATCCAAGAACTCGTATTTATTGGCGGCAAATATGCGTTGATTTTGAAATATAAAATATTTTTTTAAAAAATTTCACCATGCATGATCAAAATATAAAATAAATACCAAGTTTATAATAAATCATACCGATGTTCGCCATAATATAGTGATTTACGTTAAATGTACACCTTTATGAATTATTCAGAATTTAACATGTGTGTTTGTAATGACAAACATGGTTAGATTTTGAATGTTGTGTTTCGGCGGCAAATATTTTTATTATGGGCGATTGTTACGATGGTTAAAGATTAGCAAGGGCAATATAATACAGTACTTACTTATTTAAAATAAAAATGATGGTTAATATTGTTGGCAAACAAACTCGATGTATAAAACAGACACTAATTGCACAAATGGTTTCACTACAAAAACACACACTCGTGTCGACAGATAATATGAAAAACAAAAATATTTTGTCTCTGTGTTTAAAATGACAAATATTCCACACACTATTCAATAGTCCGATAATGTTGGTGCCAAATAAAGATTAACATGGTACGTTTAAATAAATACACAGGGCGATTTAATTAAAATAACAAGCGAAACCGAGAGTGGTGGTTTTTATTTCAATTCACAAGCGCGAGTTGGCTCGAGTGCCGCCAAATTTATACATTGAGTGTCAATGACATCGCCTTATAGTATATACAGACACTGTATGCCTCTCTACATGTATAGCATATACCCTGTACTGTATATTATGTACATTGTATGTAGAATTTAATGATATATGATGGTAGATATTGTTAGCCCTCACAGCCCTCTCTCCCTCTGTTGAATAGCAGGCAAAATATTCTGTACACAGAATTCTGTGATATCACAGAATATTATTTTTATTTATCGATGTAAAATATATACATGTATATAGATTTGAGGTATACAAATATGGTGTTAACCGCGTATTATGAATTTATATGTTGTATTTAATCTTGATTTATTTTTTCTAATGTGTTTTGTTAGCAATTTTATCGATTATCTTATTAGTTAACAACTTGGTTAATTAATATACTAGTTAGGTTTATAGAATATTTTATTAAACTAGTTTTATAATTTAGTATTTTATAGTAAAATTAATTATTATCTAAAGTTACTATCTTTATATCGTGATAATTGGTTTAGATATATTAACTATGTAACCCAACTAGACATAATACATCTATGATTGGTAAAATGCTCAAGGCAAATAATTTATTTGGTGACTGTTTCAATGCCTGTTTGTGGACTTGTGTTTAATTAAAAATTATTATAAACTCTAATTATTATATGAAGAATCAATATAAATATTTAAAATTATAATTTATTTATTAAACGAATGAGTTAAAAATGTTTAAAAATAATATTTACAATTATGAGTATTTACATGTTTAACTTCATAATTTACATAAACAACTAGCACACATGTTTTATAGTAAAATAATTAATTTTTAATCATGTTTTGTCTCATTGTTGTTAATTAAACTGTCATTTAATGTTATGAAGTGATAAATTCACATGTTTTTCAATGCGAATACATATAGTTTTGATACTTTTTTAATTTAATAATTTATCAAAAATATTAGTATTTTAATTTTAATTATATTTATTTTGTATTATTTTGTTAACAAAATCAATTATAAACACAATTAAAATGTTATGATTGCAAACTCCAGTCCAGTATTAAATTCATCAATATATATTTATACATAGAACTAACAATATTAATCTCGGTCCTAAAATATATTTAAAATTACAATGTATAATTTAAATTATATACAAATTTATAGCTACCGTAATACATATAGTGTACATTATTTCGCTATCATTGGGTTCATTATAGCCAAAGTTCATTATAAAAACTTATACAATGTCTATAAATATAATGCTATGAAAACACATTAAAAATCAATAAATAATTAAATAAATAAAAACTATACATGAATTTTATACAACAAAAAACACACACAATTAGTTTGACACATAACTGGACCCCTAAAAGGGCCAGAGGTTTCAAAGGGAGGTCATGGCTGGGGGCCGGGCGTAGGCCTTGGGTATGAAACCATACTTGCGGTGTTTGGGCGCGAAAGCCCAGAGCCATCCGTCCACGTTCTGGACGTTGAGGTCGGCGTAAACCCAATCGCCGCGCCGTACGGACAGATCGTCCGATGCCTGTGCCTTATAGTCGTAGAGCATCACTAGTTCTGTGCCGTGAAATCGCGGCTCCGATTGGTCGCCAGCGGGTGCCTGACCTCCTCCTCCACCGCCTGTGCCGCTCGTTGTCGAACCGTTCATAACGGGTCCAACACTTCCCGATCCCATTCCGGTTACTAAACCTCCGCCTCCACCGCCACTTCCATTGCCAACGATACCGATGTGTGCAGTGGTGTTGTGGTGACCGACGTTATTATTATTGCCCGTATTTGTGTTGGACTGACCGTTTGAGTGACCTATAGGTGCGACAAATGAGATAATAATTGTTAATCATTATTGTCTAATAATTGCTAATCTCAATAAAGTTTAATTAATATAATTAAAAAATTTACTAATCAATAATAACTAATTATTAAACTAATCTCTAGTTCTACATGGCTAAATTATAATTAAATAAAATATTATCAACGTTAATAAATAAATAGAAATCAAATGATGAAGTAAGTTTATAAATGAAACTAATATCTGCATAGATGTGACCATGAAACTAACAATAATCATGATATAACAGATATGAATCACACAAACCATGTATCATATCGGCCGGACACACAAAACCGGATGGTATGAAGCCCTCCTGGCCATCGCAGCGGACCACCCAATACCAGTCGGGGTCGTCCCGATTCAAAACGGTCACAAACTCTCCCCTCTCGACGGACACGTCGTTTTCATCGCGTGCTATAAACGTATACAACACTATATACCTGCCCGCGGGGTCCTTGAAAAACGGGTGACACTCGGCGCCCGACCCGCCGCCCAACATATGCACCTGAAAGCACTCGAACTCCGACTGATTGCCGCCGATATGAGTGCCTCCACTCCCGCCGCCGCCCGTACCGGCGCTCTTAGCGATGGACAGTTGATCGCCGCATACGGTGCCACCAAAACCACTGCCTCCACCTCCACCCCCACCGCTCAGCCCATAGTTGTCATACTCGCCGCCGGCTATACTGCGGGGCATTTTCTTGTGCTTGATATTCATGGCCAGAGCGGCCAAATGGCTCTCGACGGGCGCGCAGTACGAGTGGGGTATAAAGCCCTCGGAGTGATTGTCGGCGGCGATAACGTAGACCCAGTCGTTTTCCTGGTAGAGTACGTTCACCAACTGTCCCCTACGGACCTCCAGCTCGTCGTCCACACAGGGCTGGAAGTCGTGGAGCACAACCATCTTGGAGTCGGGCGACAGGNCGGGCGCGCAGTACGAGTGGGGTATAAAGCCCTCGGAGTGATTGTCGGCGGCGATAACGTAGACCCAGTCGTTTTCCTGGTAGAGTACGTTCACCAACTGTCCCCTACGGACCTCCAGCTCGTCGTCCACACAGGGCTGGAAGTCGTGGAGCACAACCATCTTGGAGTCGGGCGACAGGCCGTGCTCTTTCTCGATGCCCACCCGTACCAGCGTTTCGATGGACGCGCTGCCAGTGATCCGACCTATCGATGGCGGTGTCGACAGTTTGTCGTTGTTTTCTGTGGGGATTGTGTTGTGAAATATAATAAAGTTTGCATTTTATTAATTAATTTTTTTCAATGCTTTTATGTGTAATTTTTTTGCGATGATTTATTAGATATCTCTTTTTGAGAGCACATGTATGGGAGGGCACGGGTAGATACAGGACAGGACAGAATGCTTATTAATGCACAGACATTATTTTGAGTTTAAAAATTACATCTAGATTGAACTTTTTAAAGGGGAAAACACACATAATCATAGATTCACATAGAGTTATAATAATAAATTATTATTATTACTTATAAATGTACAAATATGGGGGAACGGGTAGGTATAGCGACGGGTGGAGGCGTCGATTGGCATCGCATACATAATGCAAAACTG